ATGATATTTTAAAATGAAACTGCAATTGTTCTTAATACTCCTGTATTTCTCAAAGATTCTTCATATTAACCTACTTCAATGATACACACTCACTGAACTCTGAATTATCAATGCTGAATTCTCAATTCTGGAGTCCGCCGTCGTGAGTCCAGACGTCATATTTTTGATTTAAACATAATTCTATTCTCTTTTGATTTCGTTTTACTTTTAACAATAATCATAAATACTAATGAGGTTTAATAAGAATTGATGGAAGCCTCTAATTATTTTCAAGTCGCATCCGTTATTAAAGCTGGTAGCGCCGATACGGCCATTCTGACAGGCGGTGCGTGCTCTGCACCTGCCTGGTTATGTGTTCTCTCTTGGTTAGTTTTCGTTACGTGCTTGGACCAGTCGCGCGTCTCGTAAAGTAGATGGGACAGGATCAAGAATTGATGCTTCATCTTCCGAAGTCATGCCGATACGGTCATACTGATGTTTGCTCTGTGATAAAAGATAAATGCTTTTGTAGTCTAGGTACTTCCACAGTACACCTAGATAACTTTATATTGTTACAATTATGAATATCAAATTTTTTTTTTTTTTAATCGTATGGGTAACGTTGTTTACTACAACACAACTTTGAGATGGTCATAATATCACGTCCAATTATCTATGCTTCATGGCTTTGGGGGCATCACACGAACATTCATAACATATTTGTCATAGGACGTCTCCGCCCGCCTACAACATTTTTTTTTTATTTATTTGTCATAGGACGTCTCCGCCCGCCTACAACATTTTGTTTTTATTTATTTGTCGTAAGACGTCTCCACCCGTCGGATAACTATTAGGTAGTCGAACAGTCTACCTTGCTGCTCGTTTACTTATACTCTCTCGTCACTCCAGTGGAACTTCGTCTGGCTGGTCACGAATCACATTTCAAAGTGTTCCTCGGTTTCTATTACTTTTTCCGTGATATTTTTTTTTTATATTAAATCTCCATTCTGAAATTATTTAAATTTTAGCTCGAAATCTCTAAAATCCAACTTTTTATCTTCTCTCCGCCTCGACCATCCTGTTTTAAATGTGTTGCTTCGATATCCACGGACGGATTGTCAAATTGTAATCTAAACTGTTAAAGCCGGATTGAATTCGTATGTTCATAACATCGGCAAGGATACTAAATTTGTCAGATGTACGCTAAAGCCTGTAATCACAAAACTATTTATATTAATAATAGAGCCCGGCCTCAATCCTCGCAAATAGTTGACTGATTTGTTTTCTATTCCCGGAGATGTTATTTGCCATTGATTCTTGTATAACGCACCCCTGAAATCATGCATTTTATTAAGATTAAATTTACCAATTGATATTAAATTTAAATTCGGCGTGATATCCTTTTCCCGTCGACAACATGATTGAAACGTTTGACCTCGGTTAGCAATGGAAATGGAACAAAACTTAGCTGTACTCGCAATAGGTGTATTTGATTAGAAATTTAGAGTCAATTATGCTATCATTTGAAATATAACATCGTTTTTTAGTGGCACTGCTGTGTGTGTTGACCGACGTGTTAATATTACTGTGAAGGGTATGTCTACAGTCGATTATAAATAAAGCCTTGGCGCCGGCTGTTTGATATCAAAATCATGTAACTTCTTATAGATTGAGTGACTTCATATTTACTCATAGTTTCCCAAGGCCGCTCTTCGTCATCTCATGGTATTCTCAAGGATACAGCAAGGATCTGTGGTTAGCTCAAGGGTAATACGTGAGTAGCTCAGAGGTACGCTCTCCACATCTGTGGCGTAGACTTGTCTTCTCACGGTTCCACAAGGCATCCCTACGTAATCTCATGGTTCTCTTTCGGATACATCAAGGACCCGTGGTTAGCTTAAGGGTAACTCGTGATTAGCTCAGAGGTCACGCTCTCCAGATCTATGGTGTAATACTTGTCTCCTCACGGCTCCACAAGGCTTCCCTACAGAATCTCATGGTACAGATTCTCTTGAGAATACACCATGGACACGAGATCAGCTCACGGAAATTCCCTACACACTAAAGGCAACATAGAGCTCTCATTATTTCCGAAAAAGAAGAGCGCGTCTTATCTCGTAAGTTTTAAAGATATCACTATTAAAATAGTTTGCCTCTAGTTTCGTGATAATAAAATTAATTTCGTTATCTATATCTTGTTTAGCCTTCAACCAATGGTTTGTTGTCGCGGCGAAATGAAAGCATTTTTGATTCGAAATAAGTGGCAAAGGATATCTATCAGACACCGTATTCTTATTATTTAATTCTCTCTATGACATTATTCAAATGATTTTTCAGTTCCAATCTTGTTTGTTTTAAGAATGAGACATTATTTTTAATCCCTATAGAATACCCTAATGTAAGCAGATCCTGTCTAATCATAACGTCGTTGAAAATACATGAATTCACAACATGGAAAACTCACTTTACTGAATCACTCTTAAATTGTTTAAAGAATTTAGATATAACATTTAATGCGAGCGTTACTTACACTTTCTAATGCAATTGTATTATTATATTGCGCTTTACTTAGAAATCTATCTTTCAAGAATTTTTTTTTTTTTTTTTTTTATTTCATTAAAGAACATTCGGTACCCGAGTCGAAGCAACATGAAAACCTCTCACCGGTTTCACTCCAGAGCTGAACCATATCTGGACGGAACAGATATTCACGCATCGTTCGGTCCATGCTTAATTGGCTTTGAATTCAACACTGGGGCAGCGCAGCGCGAAGTAGCCTCGTTGACCATACTTGAAGCAACTAGGAGTAATCATTTCCTTCGGCGCGCCAGGTTCTTTTAATTGTTGAGAGGAGCTGGTATCTGAAAACTCAGGATGTGTATTAGTATTTGGTCAAGCCCGCTATGGCCTCAACCTTCAGTTAGAACGTGCCCGTCTTGCCTCAGTTATAGCGCCACATCGTTGCATAATATCTCCGCTTAATATCCATACTACGTGGCTTCTTACGTAAATGTTGTAACCAATCGTATTCACATATTTGAGCTCACTCCTTTTAAAGATTTCATTTTCATTTGAGAATCATGGTTCCTGATTTACTACGTATTTATAGCCATATAGATGTGTTGACACCATTCCCGAAGACACACACTACCACCGGGGTCAAACGATGATAAAAATGATCTTCTTAGTAATTTTAATATTATCCTTTGATTTATTTGTAGTAAACGTTTGCACACGCTCTGCATTATTGACATCAATGAATGGCATGAAAAAAATTCTCTTGTAGCGTTCTTCAGTACGCAAGTTCTCCACATGGTTATTTTCTTCAGCTGGATAGGATTTATAAGACCGGCATGATCACGAGAGCGATCCCACTTCTGATATCGGATTTATTACAGATTCGTTGTTTTTAAAGAGAGGGACGCCAGCCTCGCTGACGTAACAAATATCACTTCTTCTAGAGCATTCGATGATATTTTAAAATGAAACTGCAATTGTTCTTAATACTCCTGTATTTCTCAAAGATTCTTCATATTAACCTACTTCAATGATACACACTCACTGAACTCTGAATTATCAATGCTGAATTCTCAATTCTGGAGTCCGCCGTCGTGAGTCCAGACGTCATATTTTTGATTTAAACATAATTCTATTCTCTTTTGATTTCGTTTTACTTTTAACAATAATCATAAATACTAATGAGGTTTAATAAGAATTGATGGAAGCCTCTAATTATTTTCAAGTCGCATCCGTTATTAAAGCTGGTAGCGCCGATATATACTATTTAGACATATGCCGTCGCGACACTTTTTGTAGATGATGATGAGTTCTGCAAAGTCGTAGTAATTGATTTGGTTCTATTATCAATAGTTTTCGCAGCGCACGCGACGTAAGGAATTTTTCAGATCATGTTTTTACACCTTGGGTTACATTATTGGAGTTTTAGTTATGATCCCTAATTTTTATTTAAATAAAATATAGCTTATATTACTCGGGAATAATGTAGCTTTCCAAAGGTGAAAGAATTTTTGAAATCGGTTCAGTAGTTTCGGAGCCTATTCATAACAAATAAACAAACCTTTCCTCTTTATTAATATACAGGGTGACTGGTGAATTACTATCAATATTTAAGGAGAATACTCGGTACATGATTCTCATTCGAATTATGTAAAAAAAATAGGCTCTTAATTTTTGACAAAATTTCCGTATAAATAAATACTTAAAGTGTTGACACGTTCCAAGTGTTCCAAGTGTGGACGCGTGCGGCGGCGTGCTGATACAACACCACGCCACCGGACGCGTATGTGTGAGTGTGTGTGTATACCTAATCTGTAGGGTGTTCACACGATGCGTAATTAATTACATAACTTTTGGTTAACTTTACTTAGAAGTTTATTAATATTTATGTTATATTAATTTTTATTTTGTCATATATGATCGTCAAGTATCACGTCCTCAAGTATCGATAGTAATTCACCAGTCACCCTGTATAGATAACCAACACAGGTACTACAAATGATATGTTTACCCTACGTAACAATTTATTATAAAGTTAAAAAATTGTGCTATAGGTATGTTATTAATTATTTTAATTATTAAAGCTAATGATTATAATTATTCAAAAAAAGTAAAATAAGATGAAAAAAGGATTTTTTATTTTTAATTTTGTACTCAGTAATCATTTTCTTTTTTATGTACCTGTTTTCGTTCCTTTTATCCGATTCATGTCTGAGAAACTAGTCACAAATTTCTTAGGTGTCTGACTTAATAATAATTATTAATTTAATCATTACCAATTGTAAATGTTTTAAAAATGATTAAAAATATATATTTTTGGCTTTATTTCACACGTTATAATTGTTGTCACTACTTCCAAAGCTAGCAACACATTAAATATGTGACAGTGACATTTAGACGTATCATATTTTTATTTACGACATTTGACTTGAAAAGCGAGCGAAAACAAATATTTAATACTGGAATTTATTAAACAATAATATTAAAAACATAAAGCGTACAGAATGCCGTCAATGAAAGTAGAAGGTGACAGTGATGGGGATGGCGATATGTCTGGTGGTGATACTGAAAGGTCCAATGGTTCTTCACGACCTGATCGGGACTCCAGCGCCGAAGAAGCAGATGAACCTGATTCAGATGATTCTTCAGAAATGGACGAGAGCGAATGTGAACGCAGGAGGAACGAGTGCTTGGACAACTTGAGTATGTATAGGTTATGTTTACAAACAACTTGCACGCAAGCCAATTTGAACCTTGAGATTCGTTTGAATGTTTCATCATTATATGCTCGTGCTGGACTTATTTGAGTTATACATTCACGAAAATTGTTAATAATATTCATATTTAAGTGATATTATTAGTTTTATACATTCATACAGCTGCGTGCAAAAGTATTAGGCACCCCTATTGTTAGTCACTATCTCATTAGATAGCGGTCAAGTGTGTGTTTTATGGTTTAGTTATTGTATTAGCGGCAATTTTTAACCAAATTAAGATAAAAGAAAATATTTATGACATCCAGGTGTGGTCCTAAGCGGTGTTTCTTCGAATTTGCTTTTTTTGCGTTTCGGGTTATAGTGTGTTATCAGTGCTTGCAGTGAACATACACGTCTTCTACGCAACTATTCCTATCACAATTCTAAAGACTAACATTTAACGTGTTAATCATGCCGAAAAAATCTGAACTTAGTGCTGAACAGCGTCTAAGAATTAAGATTTTACATGAACAAGGCATGTCTCAGGTTAAAATAGCCCGAGAAGTGAAGTGCTCGCGATGTGCAGTTCAATATGCTATAAATCGCTTCAAAGAGACTGGCATCCATGAAAATAGACCAAGAACAGGCAGAAGAAAAGTTACTACTGAACGGGAAGATCGATTGTTAATTAGGCAGTCTCTACAAAACAGGAAAAAAACTGCTTTAAAACTCGCTGCAGCATTATCTGAGGCAAAAGGCAGCTCAGTGAGTGTTTATACTGTGAGAAGAAGACTTCTTAAAGCTGGATTAAAAGGATGTAAAGCAAGGAAGAAGCCGTGGCTGTCAGAACACAATAAGAAAAATCGGTTGGAGTGGGCACTCAAACATAGAGATTGGTCAGTGGAAGATTGGTCCAACATACTGTGGTCAGACGAATCTAACTTTGAGGTATTGTTATTTATTCTATGTACAATATTAAAACACATAAATGTTTTTAAAATAACTTACTGCAAGAAAAATAATAACTTTGAAAATAAATGGGTTTTTTTCGTTTGGCATAGGTGTTTGGAACACCCGGTGTGACTTATGTTAGGCGAAGGGTTGGCGAAGAATACAACCCAGAATGTGTGGTTCCCACTGTTAAGCATGGTGGAGGCTCAATAATGATCTGGGGCTGCATGGTTGCCGACGGAGTGGGCGAAATGGTGTTGTGTGAGGGACGAATGAATAGTGTAAATAAACTGAAGTTCTGGAAACAGCACTAGCAACGTCGATAACGCAAATTTTCGGTGATACAAACACCGATGGCCTGAAATTTCAGCAAGACAACGCCACTTGCCACAAATCCGCGCATACCATGAAGTGGTTTGCAGAAAATCATATTGATCTTTTGGACTGGCCACCACAATCACCAGACCTCAACCCGATTGAGCATATTTGGTCCATTTTAAAGAAAAATATCCGCAGGCACTCGATTAGCAATAAACAAGCTCTATTGGCCGCGTTACAGCAGGAATGGAAAAATATATCAAGAGAAGAATGTTTCAGGCTGGTAGAGTCAATGCCAAAAAGAGTGGCTGCTGTTTTTAAGTCAAAAGGTGGACCTACAAAATATTAATTATTTTCTTAAAATAAACCATTGTAATCATTAATGCAGTTTTATTTACACTCGCTATGCTAAAACACCCTAAAACTTGTCTTACTGTAGGGTGCCTAATACTTTTGCCCGTGGCTGTATATTAATAATAATTAGTGCGCCAACAAAACTCGTAACTTTTTATTGGTTACCATTTCACAAATGAAGCTCTGTCCTGATTATAAAGCTCTTCGATATGATGGTAGAAAAGAATATTCTAAAAGAATCACTTAAATTTTTTTCCGCGCCGCAAAGCAAACGCGAAAGCTATGCAAATACATGTGTGTTTATGAAGTTTAGATGAGAAATTTGTATATTTCACATTATGTAAAAACGAGATGAACTCGTTCTTAAATATATTTTCATATTTCCATATATAAATCCTAAAAATTTTATGCATTTCTTAATTTTGATCAGATAACTTTAAGCAATGCTTTTCGATATACAATTGTTTGTGACAATTGATGCAATATAGATGATATATTAACCAAAAAACTTATTTGTATTTATATACATATATTAAATTGTTTCTTATAACAAAAATTTCTTTTCTACAAATCTATTAAAAACTACTTTAAAAATGTATGCAAAACTTTCCTACTGAGAGAACTCTGTTAATTTGTTTTTTTAATCTATAATAATTACCTTCACAATAATAACAATGAAAAATTTAAAGAATTTTGTGGACCCGAGAAAGTATTTCATATAAACCTCAATATAACAATTTCATCTTAAATTGAAAAATTAATTTCTTTATTAGTTGCCTTTATAGTACTATATCAAAATAGGTATGATTTTTGAAGTGAATATTATTTAAGTTGTTTTAGGTAGATACAAGAGAGCCAAATAACTACAAAGTAGTGTTTAAGTTACTTTGTCAAAGAAAAATTTTTTTTTTCATATAATTATTATATACAACGTTTTCATCTTCATAGCACTACTTTAGAATGTTACAACAGTTATAAAATAACTTATAAACTATTAGAATGTCACTTATAATATTTATTTCAACACAGAAAACTTGAAAGTAAATCTCTTCATAATATTAATCAACAATATGGTTTAACTTATAGTTATAAGTTCAGCCTGCCTGTGTGTGTTATTTTTTATTTATTTATTTATATATTATGTATTTCTTTGTGTGAAATCATAACTTTCCATTAGATCGACTTTTGAGCCTTTTCTTCATCTTAAATCTAGTTTCCTTGTGGTGGTTTTAGCTATGTTTAGTTAACAATGTTTGAGTGATGTAAGATTATCAGGTATTTACCAAATTGAACACTACATTATTAAGAGCTTCACTAGTGATAGGGCATTCATTAAATCCCAATTAATGCTTACAGAATTTTTGTTTGGTTTTGCTTATAAATGAAAGATATATATATTGCCTATAAAAGAAACTATGTGAATTTATTGCCAATACTATGTATAGATGAAAATCATCTCTAAAAAACAGATATTCTTGTTTGTATATACTCTGTATATTCTTGTTTAAAGATATATTTGTTACTGGTATATAATAAAGAGATTATTATTATTATATATATTTTTTACTAATACTATTATATAATAATTCCAGCAAACCTAGAGCGTCAGTTCACAGTATTGAGAGAGCAGCTGTTCAATGAGCGTATGAAGCATGTTGAGTACCAGCTGTCGGAGGTGAGGGTGGGCAGGTCACAGGAGTACCTCATACCATTGGCACAGCTACAGGAAAATATGAAAGTCAGGTTAGTATATAACTTAATGATTTTCTGAGTTTCTTTCGCCTGTTCTTCTCAGGTCAGGGTATTTTGTTTTCCGAACCGTTGGTAGTGTCTCAAGTGACCATCAAAAAGGAAGTGTAATGCTTATATATTGAATAAAGTTATTTGAGTTTGAGTATAAAATATTGAAGTAATGGTAGGTGAATACTAAACTAAATTAAACTAGTATTTTTGGAATTTATTATATTTAAAAAACTAAATACTCTCGATGTTTTGGTTACTTTGAAGCAACCATTACCATTGAAATATTCTAGTATCCAACAATAGGTTTATACTAAACTAAATGAAACTTAATATCTTCGGATTTATTATATTTAAAAAACTAAATGCTCCCAATGTCTTGGTTACTTTGAAGCAACAGTGATCATGGTAGTAATAAAAAAAAAATTGTTTTATTTAAATAAATACTCGCGAAAGTCTTAGATCTCATTGTTCTTCACTAAATTCAATTATGGTGATTATTTCATTGACTGAATTTACTGACTTAGATGATACATCAATAACAATGTACATAAGAATTGTGATGATTAATAATTTATTTACTTAATAAATTAACTCTCAATATTTCATAGAGAAATGTATAAATATATCTCGTAAAGTTCACAATTAAATAGGAGTTATCTTATAGAAAATATAATACACACAACCTTTAGTATTGATCTAATTTTATAATAAGTTTATGTTATATATTCATAATAATGATATCCATATTTCTATATTGCAAATAAAATATAGATAAAATAATATGTTTAAATTCAAATGTTTTCAATGAATTTGATATTTTTATAATAATAATTATATCTGAAGAATTATTTATTAATAACAAAACATTATACTGTAATCTGTATAGAGGTTGTAAATAAATTGTCAATTCAGAATTTAGAATCCTGATAATAATATTTAAGACATTCGCGACTATTCATTTTAATGTTTTCGGATTTACCACGCTCTTACAAAGTCATAAAAATTCCAGATTGGAGGTGGCCGGTATTCTTAAGAAGATGAGGATAGAAAATATCAAGCATAAGTATGATGCAGAGGAGATAGCGGCTCACCAACACTTCAAGGTCAGTATATATATTATTTACATACTAGTACCACACTGAATCATCATCATACTATCAGAGCCCACTGCTGAGCAAAGGCCTCTTCTCACATGGAGAAGGTTTGAGCATTAATCACCACATTTGCTCAAGACGGGTTGGTGATTACAAACTTATAATTGTGAAATTATTATTTTAGACAATTTAGTTTTTAAGTTTTTAAAAGAATATTACTATTCTGTTTATGTATATATACTTACATACATAATACTTTTGCGTAAATTATATTTTTAGTTATATTTCCTGGTTGCAGAAAATTATATTAATTTGGGTAAATATTAAAGATTATGTTGATACAACTCTAACAATTAATTCATAATGCATTAATTTCGACCAAATTTGATTACCATAAAAAAGATTCTAGTGAGTTAATATTAAAAGATAAACATATACTGTCGCGGACACTTTTTTAGATCGTTTCAAGAGGAATATTTTTTCATACATATTTTTTTTGATATCTTAAATCATTTTCATTCAAAGATAAATAATTTTCACCCTTTTTTACACATTTTCATTTGTTTCTTCGCTCCTATTAATTGCAGCGTGATGTTATATTGCCCAAAGCCTTCCTCGATAAATGGTCTATTCAAACACAAAATTACTTTTTTCGAACTTACAATTTTTTCGAATTTACAATTCGTACCAGTTGTTCCTGAGATTAGCGCGTTCAAACAAACAAACTCTTCAGCTTTATAATAGTATAAATATACTCATATTTTTATAATAATAAATTTCAATTTACTTTTTCATTTCGATGCTTCTTAACTAAAATATTGTTAAATAATTTATAAATGTTGAATCGAGTATTGTTCGACTTTTAATATTTTTTGTGATATATTTTTTATTCTTAGTAAAATCTTTTCAATTCACATGACGATGAGAACGAAAAGAATGTGTAAAAATATTTTTATTTCGTTAAAATATTTTTGTTATAGTAAAAACTTAAACCATCACATAACAATAAATTTTTAAATTATAATTTATTGATAAAAGTAATAATAATAATAAATAAATTCCTACATACCATTTAAGGAAAAAGTAATTTTAAGGATCTTTTTTTGTCATTAGAGTTACACAACATTTTAATAAAATGTGTGTTTAGTTCGAGGTATTTTATTTTATTGTGTTTGCTATAATATGAAAAATCATCCGTTTTGGAGTACTGTAATTTTAATAGTATTCTTAGTACGAGTGTCCGTCGTTTAACACCGATCGTATCGAATAGGATAGTAAAATTATCCTTTATACAGCCAACAACAATAAGTTATTCGTAATTTCTAATTAACGTTAAAATATATTAAAGAATATTTCAGTTTAAATTACAATGTTAGTGAAGGTGTACGAATGTATTGATGCTTATCCACTCTTCACACGAAATCTACTGAACTGATTTTGATGAAACATTACAGTAATATAGCTTAAAATGAGGCGAAACCTCTCAACATTCCATGTATTCACCGTGCGGGTGCCGGGTCCATCGTTGTAGGGAGAGGAGCTTCAACAGTGACTGGGACTTGCGACCCAGGTGTAGGTAGGGTATGTGTAGGGTATGTGTAGGGACTCCTATCTAACGCGTTAAATACTCACCTCCACTGTCCAAGCTCCTCTCTCTACCTAACCAAATGTGAAAAGAACCTACTAGGACTGCTTTCGAAGTACTTTCCAAGAATGAATTGATATTAGTTCTAAACAGGCATAAGTCTTTTAGTAGACTGTAGAATATAGAGAGATGTAATTGTATTATCTCTCGAACAATAGAATAACATATAGGTTGTAATTTATTCCTAATTTCCTTTCAGTTTATAACGTCTTCGGAAACACACTATAGATGTCTCTGTTGGATAGTTATCTTTTGTTCTAACACACTTTATACTCTCTATACCTAATACCAAAAGGTCACTTTTTTTTTTATGTCTAAGGTGGCAAACGAGCAGACGGCCTACTTGGTGTAAGGTAGTACCGCCGCCCATGTACATCCGCAACATGTTTGTTGCGAATGCGTTGCCAACCTTGTTTTTTTAGGAATAGGGAGGGCTGGGAATAAGGAAATGGTAGGAAAGGGTGGGAAATAGGAAAAGGGCAACCGGCTCTCTCACTCATCGGACGAAACGCAGCCACTAAAGGCTACTTCACGCCGATCTTCTGTGAGAGGGTGGTACTTCCCCGGTCGAGCCAGCCTATGTTCGAGCTGTAGTAACTTACCACAACTAGGCTCTACCACCTAAAAAGATTGAAACCACCACTCAGATGAAATCGCGAACTAAAACTAGTTACCCCTAATTTGAAGCTATTTTCACTAATAATTTATGATTTATTAAAAAGACCATTGAAATCTTTATGTAATACCCAATCAGAAGTAAATTTTCCACTTGAAAGAGTGTCTTTCATTACAGACAAAATATATAAAGCGAGTGAATATTAAGGATGAAATGAGTTAAGTAATTATCAAACTCACTGAATCATACTACTCACTGAATTCATATGATGCTGAAACCTCTTGAAATTTAGGAAAACACCTGTATAATATGTATTATATAAGGGGGATTCTACGGGAAAGTAAACCTTGATGTAATTTTTTAAAGTTTTTCTTTTTTTTAAATATTATATATATCGATATAAAATACTTAAAATTGCACGATACTTTATAAATATTAGTATCTTAATATTTTTTTTTTATTAAGTTGCAAACTTGATTAATGAATTTAATGCTGATTTGGATCTGAAAAGACGCAAAGCTGTCAAGCTGAGTGTTTAAAATGTACACCTTGATGCAGACCCAAGCTACTGAACTGACTCCCATGATGAAACTAGCATCCATATCAAGAAATAAAAACTTATAAGTGACTCCTTGTACCAAGTAAATCGTACGTGTCCCATCCGTCACAATAGAATCCCCCATAACTAGATGACAGTTTAATGTGTAATTTTATAACTTATACACTATATATAAGACAATACTACTCATTTTATATGGTATATAATACCACATCTATTAAAGTATAAAGTAGAAATAATACGTAGACTACTATACTATAACTGCTACAATTTTTACTACAACTACTCTCTAACAGCTAACTGATGGACCGTAGTGTATGAAACACAAATAACTTAATGTTTCGTATAAAATTTTATTTTTTCTTTGTTTATAATAGATTTAAAATTGTCAGTCTGTTTGCACCTTTGTTCGTTCCATGTAATCTATTGTAAGATAGTAGTTATTGATATCTGACGTTATAATAAAAGAAAAGGAAAATATTATTCATTTATGTGCCAAATAAATGAAGGACACGTATACATTCATACGTGAATATCAGTTACGTATATTATATGAATATTAACTACGAAAATATTTTTAGCATTTACTTTTGAAGGTAGGCAGGTAGACATCAGGTACATACATACATACATACACGTAGCTTCAATTAAAAGATCTTAAACCATACATAAAAATGTCATATAAGATTTTTCATTAATTGTGACCATGGCTGCTGTAAAAGAACAGAAACGAACAGAACCGAAACGAACACAAAAAAAAGTTCTCACTATACAAAAGCCCTCATATTATTTAATACTTTAATAATATGTGATTTATTAATTGTATTCATATCAAAAATTAATAAATTTTCAATCCAATAAATAAAATTAATATTACATTAATACTACTTTTTAATTGATACAAAATAAAAACATGTATAAATATATTCGTTTATAAATAGTTCGTTATTAAAATTATTTATTTATACGTACATATTAAAATAATTAGCATAATTATTACCTTAAGTTTGTATGAGAACTACACACTCATGTTTTTATACGTCGATATCATCGTATACGAATACTTATTTATGAAATACTACAAACTGTATGTTTGTAGTAAAACTATTTAACAGTACTAAGGGTTACTATTGTGGTGATGAGTACGTGCGTTGAAGTCTTTCATGGGCGTATATGTTATTACAATATATATTATATCTTATATATATATGACACTAAAATATATTAAAATTTGTATATATATTTATATATAACTGTACTATTATGTATTTATATATCAGTTACAAACTTTCAACATGATGATCGTAATTATTAGCAGGCGTTCGAATAAATTTAAACTTCGGTTAAAAACCTTATATATTTATTATAGTGTATAAATTATATGTCATGTATATCATATACAGGGTGACTGGTGAATTACTATCAATATTTAAGGAGAATACTCGGTACATGATTCTCATTCGAATTATGTGAAAAAAATAGGTACTTAATTTTTGACCGAATTTCCGTATAAATAAATAAAGTGTGGATACGTTCCAAGTGTTCCAAGTGTGTGTGTGTGTGTGTGTGGGTATACCTAATCTGTAGGGTGTTCACACGATGCGTAATTAATGACATAACTTTTGGTTAACTTTACTTAGAAGTTTATTAATATTTATGTTATATTAATTTTTATTTTGTCATATATGATCGTCAAATATCACGTCCTCAAGTACCGATAGTAATTCACCAGTCACCCTGTATTTGTCTTCATATATGTTGGTTTTATTCAATATATTTTATTTAGTAATATAGCAACTTATATGTTTTAGTTTTCATAATATATTAGTGTTTTTTAAAGCAGTATTTTTAATTTTTCATTTATATATTTTTTGTCTAAATCATTTCATTTCATGCCTAACACATGTAGCAAGTCACAGGTTCATTAAGGTATATTAATTAAAATAGAGAAATAAAGAAATTAAAATTACATTTATATGAATATTTTATATAATATTACTATATTAAATATATTATAGACTTTTTCTTCTTCCTGGCAATTTCCCAGCTTTAGCCAGGGTCTGCCTAGTATATTATAATATTTAATATATAATAGCATTACATTATATAATAGTTTGTTATTTATATAACGTTGTAGAAGATTTTTCGTATATTTTATTAAGAAATGCCACTTGGTCTGAATTTCTCGTATATAAAATGCATTCAAAATAGAATTAAATTATATTTTC